CCTACCAGCGGCACTACTAAAGCTGAGCGGCCGGGCCCTTCCCCCTTCCCTTGGCCATTCCACACGTAGAGCTGTTTGAAGTCTCCTGTCCTGGGCACGGACGGGTGCCCCTGGATCTGCATGTCCTCTCCACCCTGGTGAGGGTGCTCCCGGTGGCCCTGCTCGCCCCGCTGCGCGGCGGGCTCTGCAGGAGCACGCTCGGTTTCCTCTGCAGCCTGCGCCCGGGGCCGCCCGGGGCAGTCGGCTGTTCTGTCTGGCCCCAGAAGTTGCTGCAATGACAGTCCTGCATTTCCTCACTCCCAGCAGCTGGAGCATCCTCACCTTGCGGTGCATTCTGGTCTCGCTGCTTCTAGTGTAGTTTTGGGTCCATGGTTTTGAGGAAGCGGGGAGCTGCGCAGAGCGCTGTGCTGCCTGGGCCTTGTGGGGAGACCCACCTGTTTGGAATGGGCACTGGTGTTCTTCGGTTTTCTTCATTTCTTTTTTAATTGGCGTATGAGGCAGTCGGAAAATACAGCGGTAGCACCAGCAGCTGAGCTCATGGAGCACACGCCAGACCACTGCCTGGTGAGCCAGGGCCACGCCGCTGGGGCCTGCTGTAGCTGGACTGTCGTGTGCTGCCAGGGTGAGGCAGGGACGTGCTCCTCCCCTCGCCAGCGCGGGCGGCTCTGCTCCGAGCGCCGTGGCAGGGCTGAAACACAAGAGCTTCCAGCCAAGGCAGAGATTTCAAATGATCTGTCAGTTTTCCTACCCCAGGGTATTCAGTGTTGAGATCAATCTGTTAAATTTGCTGTGTAAATTTCCTTTTTTCATCATCTGGCTGTGGGACAGTTGGTTACTGCACCAAACGGCTCATGACCTGTCATCCTCTCTTGGGAACGCCTGCAGCCAGGTGCCAGTGGTGAACATCTGCTCCCAGACACTTCATCTCACTGTTGGTTGGGGTTTGTCCATCTGAGGTGGGGAGGCAGTGCTAAGATGCAACACCACCGTCTTGTACATTTTTTTCAGCACTTTGGTAGCGGCAGCGAACAGTTGAGAGGCAAACTGGGCAGTGATTCTTCACTGCTTTTTTAACCAGTAACGTACTTTGATACCAGCACACAAAACATCTCTGAACTCTGGTCCTCCCCATCGCCGCCTTCTTGAGGTCCACAGGCTTCCTGCAGGAGCCGAAGGACACTCAGAAGGCAGTGTGCTCGCAGCAGAGTATTTTCCTTGTCCCAGGTGGTTTGTCTTGTAGCATTTTTTTCTCTCTGTGCTGTTAACAAGAGGACATCACTTTCTAATAAAAGGCAGGAAAAACGTTTTGTTGCATTTTTGACAATTGACAGCTTGGGTTCTACTGGAATGCTCTGTGCTGGTGCCTTTGCCGTTCCTCTCGTTCCTGGGGAGCTGTGCCAGGTGCTGCCCAGCACGGACGGCCGAGGGGAAGGGTTCAGACCTTCCCGTGACCACTGAGAATCTGCCTGGGTCTGTGAGGCTTTGGGCCTGAGGTCCTCCCAGGTGTGCTCCTGGGTGATCTCGGGCAGCGTGGCCGTTGTGCCCGGCGTGGGAGGGGCGTTTGTGCCGGGTGCAGGAGCGGTGTGCGGGAGCCGGGCGAGCTGCAGTGGGAGGGGAGGGGAGGGGAGGGCATGTGCCTGGGCCAGCAGCCAGTGGCTCTGGTGGCCATGCCACAGGGCTGCTGCATGACGACCCTGTGCCTTTAGCACCAGCCTGTGGCGATATCATGAGGCTGTTACTGCACAACCTGAAATGGGATGGAAGCCTGTCTGGCTGCCATCTGTCCTCCAGTTTCTTCATTAGATCACTTTCTCTGTCTCTGCACCCCACAAGGTGTCTTTGCTGGGGTGGTCGGGAATTGTGTGGTCTTGACCATGGGCACTGTGGCCCACG